AGTGATATAAAAGTAGCTTATACAATATTAATTTATTTAAAAAGCTCCATCATAGAGTAGATTAAAATGCCAACATCATTGTATTGATTAATAGCAAAACTATCTTTGATTAACTACTAAATATTGCTATTATAGTTCTGAAGCATCTCCTAATTTCTTCTGCCTAACATAGTAAAAGTTTTGCCTGATCCTGTTTATCCATACATAATTGATACCAACTAAAGATTGCATTATTATAGTATTTGCATAGAATATTTAAGATATATTTATTAATATTATATAATATATAAATATAAAATATAATTAAATCATTTTTTTGAAAGATATATACTTATTCAGAGGTTGAAAGCAAGTAATAATTATCAGCTTGTTGCCCGTAACAATGATTGAATTCATAAATCAAACTATTGATTACTTTTTTTTGGGCAAACAATTACTTTAAACGAATTTTATTGAGTTAAATTTTGGAGTCACTGGCATCCCAAGCTATTATTTCATTGTCATTAATTTCTTTTTGGTTTAATGGCCTTATTCTTAAACATACACTAATTTTTTCCATACTAACAGATAATTTATAAATATATTATTATCAAAATGTTATAATTTTAACTCCAATAATAGGAAGCTAATATTGTTATAATTATTTTGAATAACATACAATCATAAATATTGCAAGTTATATTTAATAAATATTATTCTTTGTTGATGTAACAAAAATCTTGACATCCTCTTTAATTTTTTGTGACTGCAAAATATGATGAACATTTGAACATACAAAAAACCAAAGAAGATTTTATTAAAACGCACAGAAGGTATAATAGTTACTAATCAGAGACTCAATTTTTAACGTTTAAATATGATTTATGTTAATTATTAGGATAGGGATAATATAGTAAAGTTATGTTAGTCAGGTATCATCTAATTAATTAAACTTAGAAATTCTCGAGAATATTATGCTCTTATACAGTTTGATAAAGTTTAGATCTAAAAATTCAATCTTAATTAATAAATCTAAAGAGAAATTGATATATATATAATATAAGTATTTTAATTCAATTCAATCCAAATTAAAACATAAAAACATTGTTCAGTTATAAACATATTTTTAAGATAATTAAAAGATCTATTTGATTACTGAATATTGTGAGAAAGGTAGTATGTATTGTTATTAACAATTAATAAAGATACTATATAAAAAATAATTCACAAAATCTAAAATTAAAGACATTATTTAATAGATTATTACTGCTATTTATTATATCCATTTAATGGGAATTATGCATAGAGACATCAAACCTGAAAATATATATTTAACACAAAATGATATAATAAAAATTGGAGATTTTGGGTGATCTATTTAAATAGGAAAACAAAGAAAGAGTTTTTGTGGAACTCCTAAATATGTGTCTCCAGAAAGTACATCTATTTTTTATTTTAATTCAAAAGGGATATTAACGTATTTTACTGTAATTAATATAGTGGATATGATCAAAGAGTTGATATTTGGTCTATTGGTATATTACTTTTTGAATTATATAATAATACCGTTCCATTTTAGAGATATTAATAGGGATAGGTAATAAGATAGAATAGGTAGAATAGATATAGTGTTTAAAAAAGAGGATGATCCATTATTTGTAGATTTTGTTTAGAGATGTCTTTAATTTATTAAATCAATGGACTCAAGCACATATATGTAAAAAGAATCAATTTCTAAATTATCAAACTTTGATATCATGAATAATCAAAATAATAAAGTAGCTATTAGCAATAATTAGAGAATTTAATCATGCTTACTACTTAAGTTGAAAGACTTACATTAGCATTGAAAAAGAAAACTAATGAAGTTTGAGACACTCTAAAATTAAATAGATACTTAGAAATCAACTCAATA